GTGAGAACCCAGGTCTGGGTTCTCCCCCCAAAAAAAAAAAAAGAAGGAAAAAGGAAAGCAGGGAGAGCAAGAAACGGGTGTTTGGAGTTTAACGGATTGAGTAAACGAAAATGAAGATGTGTAATGGAGGGTGTGCACAGTAAGGGTAAATGTATCACGGTCCTAAAATTTATTATGATTTTTTAGATAAAAAATAATTATCATTAATAACTGAAAATAATTTTAATATTTAAAAATAAAGAGATAAATAATTAAAATTTTATATAAAAATAATGTTTAAAATTTATATACAACAAAATCTCTACTCATATAATAATGAGTTTAAATGCCTTAATAAACAAGATATCATATTAAAATGAAATCAGTGACCATCAATGAATATTTTAATGTTAATAATCTAAATAATTCAATAATAATTTTATTTTATTGAAAGTAACTAATAAATGATTTTAATTTCAAGTAACATATTATACAAATAGAGTAAATTAAAATATTAGAAATAATTATTTTTTATTATATCAATCAAGAAAAAAAAAAAACCCCAAAAGCTCTCTTAAGTATAAACCAGGCTCTTAAAGCCCAACTTAAACAGTAAGGGTCCAGTCCAGTATAGCTTTATGGGCCATAGAATTTAGAACATCTATGGCGACCATTCGAATAATCCCAAACTTATTTACGTAGTAAGAGTTGTTTGGAATTATTCTAGGAAATGGGATTTTTGTAACATCATAGTCATTATATAAATCTCAAAGATATGCATGATAGCTAGGGATAAGGAATCCCTGGGGATATTTCCCTTCGTCTACTTGTGGAAGTTAATTATCAACATAAAAAAGCTAAAACTTAAAATCAAGGTGGTCACCCACTGCCTCTGAATTTCTTCAGAGAAATAATTTGGTATAATCCAAGTTGTCTGCCATTCCAAGCATCAAACAAAGGGTTCACTAAACTAATTCTTTATGGTGTTAGGTCCATCATAGTCCATCATATATTATAGAACTAAAAAAGGAAAAAAAAGAGACATTACAAAATTTAAGTTGATCTTACCTATCAATATACTCATTTGTTTTTTTGACTTACAAATAATTCTGACTCATGACATGAGTTAGTCACATAAAATCTTCTCTAATTTATGAATCAATTTGACTTGATTTTATGCGAGTTATGACATGTAATGAGTCAGCACATTCAAGCTCATCTACTTTTTATGTCTATTTTCAATATAATAATCTAGATCCATTTATTCTCAAGAAATTAAATAAAAAAAATAAAAATCAGCAATTATCACATAATGAAAGTGAAGAAAGTAATTGATGCTGGAATTTGTTCCCATATATCTAAAACTCTTTCAAAAGAGGAGCTAACCCAATCTAACTGAGCTAAAGTAAAACACCCACTTGTTGGAAAGAGGAACAGAATTAATTAGCATTGCTGGTGCTGACTCAGATTTTGAAATGTTATTCTTTATGGATAGAATAGCATTCTTTCCCAATTGGTTTTTGCCATCAAAATTTTGCCTCAAAATAATAGTATTAGATTGGTAAGGAGAATGCTAGGGGGACCGACCACCCCCAGCAAGCCAACAGAGGTCTATTGACCTTGCACCAGTAGATTTTTTTTTTTTTTAAGGTTAAATTTATTATTTAGTTTTTATTTTTAACAACTCAAACTCATTTATGTTCTTTTTAAAAAAAATTAAAATCAATTCAAATTTACCCTTTTTAATTTTAAATTTTTTTTAAAGTTGAGTATTTAGAATGTTAGGGTTTAAATTTTTTTAAAATTTAGTGTTTAAATTATTTTAGGTTTGTATTTAAAGTTTTAAGATTTAGATTTTTTAAATTCAGTATTTTATAATTGCAACATTAAACTTCTTAAAATTTAGTGTTTAAAGTACTTGAATTTAAAATTTTAAGATTTAAGGTTTAATATGTAAAAAAATCTAAGTATTTAATAATTTAAATAATTAAAAATTAAAATTTACAGGACTTAAAATGAAACCAAAAAAAAATTCAAATTTAAAAAGTAAAAATAAAAAAGTAATAGGGACCAATCGGTCTTGGTCCCTATAGCATTGCCCTTGGTAAACTGCACATTCTCCCAATTTACTGGGTTAATGAGCTTGAATTTTCTTCTCTTACCATATTATTACGTTGGAAAAAATAAATACTGATGATGAATTGGTACTCTCCACCATAACAAAAACCCAAAAGTTAAGCGAGCTACAGTTTGGTAGCCGAAAAAAATGGTCTACAGTCTTATATGGGCTTAACCTTTTTAGGGCACTTTTTTTTTTTCTATAACAAAGTGAGTTTTTAGAGAAAATGAGAAAATATTACAACTGTTTCTATAGAAATTTGAATCTTGATATGAGTTAAACAGCATGTTTAATGAAACTTGTAAGTGCTGCAGCTTTTTGATACTATTCATATTTCATATATTTAAATTTTTATCTTAAAAACTTATATTTTTTAATTTTTTTTAATATTAAAAAAACATTAAATAGTGAATTTTAAAAAGTTTCAAACTTTTACTTTTTACAAATTTTTTTTTTACTGACTTTTTATTATTTTTAAAAATAACTTTAAAATTTTTCTTTCAATAAAAATTTAAACTTATGATTCATAAATAGTAAAAAAAAAAGTAAAAACTGCAAAAAATTTCATCAAACAGGCCCAAAGTTTGAGTTGCACATTGTTAACCCAACTAGGTTGCTAATACCTTTTAGGACATTTGCTCTAAACCAAATCCGATATTTGCTTTCCCATTAATTCCCAAGCAAACATCTTAAGCTCCTAAAACCTCTAATTTAGAATTAATTTTAGCATTATAGAAAATGTAAAAGTGAGGTACAATCCACCCTAATTAACTATTGATGGAGGGGAGAGGGCCTCTAATATTGGGGTTTATCGTTCCATCAATAGTTAGTTGGTTTTGTAGTTTACTTTACAGTATTCTGTAATATATACATATAAATGTGTATTTGATACAAGTTAATAGAATCCTATTTAAGCTAGGTGGCATAAGAATTAAATAATAATTTTATGCTAACAATTAATTAAACAGTTATATGGTAATTTATTTTTAATTAAATTTATATTATAGGTATGCAAATGGAGTAAGTAAATGAATGGGGGATAAAATAATAATAATAATAATAAAGGTGCAATCTATATAAAATAGATTATAAAATAATATTTTATTATAATAATAATAATTTTATATTTTGGAGAATTTGGAAAGTGAGGGAGGGATGGGCTGGCAATGGGCAACAACATGGAAATTGGAATGGTCTAACTGGAAAGTGGGTTTGCATGTTGAATCATGAAATCGAGGTTAGTTCAACCATATATTCTTTTGCAAGTGGTAAGTGCAGTTTGAAACTTTGACAACACCTTGGATTCCTAAAAGAGAATAGGAATGCCAGGGGCAGAACTATCTTTTTCTCAAAGATGATTTACCTGTTCCCTAAAGTTGCTCCATTCATCCTCAATTCCCTATTATCTGTTTCCTGAATGCCATACTCTGCTACACCTGCGTTGCCTTCTAGTTTTTTTTTTTTTTTGTATTAACCTCTCGATCTCTAGTTACTACGCTGAATTTTGATTAATTTGGAATCGAACTATGTCGGACACCATTAAAAAGAAACTCTCTCGGCATTTGTTTCTTTATTCACAAGACTCAAACTCAAAACCTTATTTAAGAGGAACTGAACTCCTTCCACTTAAATCAACAAATCGTTAGTTGCCTTCTAGTTTCTATACACTAACAAGAAGTTAAAAAAGATGTCAATGAGATCTCAAGTTAAGTAACTTTAATTTATGCTCATACTAATTTTATTTTTATTTAAAACTAACTCATAGTCTTAAGTCCAAGTTATGAAAGAAAGAGTTTGGCCTCAAATCAACATGAAAATGGTTGGTGTTGTACGTTATTTAAATTAGGATGAAATGTCATATTCCCCGGCCCTAATTTTGTCAATTTTCTAGTTATCTAGGAAAAGGAAAGGACCAAATTACTGTCACCTCAATTGACTACAATATGTCTTAAATTCATACGGAAAAATTGGTGCATCTTGATCGTCATCTTTTTCACAAAAGTAAAGATTAATTCATTCACATACAGAACTTACCAAATTCACATATCAAAACATGATCAAATCCAGTAAATGTGATAGAAACATACAGAAGAATAAATCCATGCCCCTATTTCTCCATTTTTAGCTCCGTAGGTCCCAAATGATATAAAAATTTGTTCCATTTTTAGTGGCATTTTCCCAGCTGAATGCATTGCCTAAATTATTAATCTATCTATCTTATCCAATTATGTAAACAAAAAATAAGACTTTTCTTAACCCCAAAAAATAAAAAAAGATATTTTTAATTGTTGTTTTCATTGTTATTAATATCCACTGGTCTAGGTGAGTTGGTGCCATGCGCCACATCATATCTCTTAATTAAGTGTTTATCATACTTTTGAATACATTATTTATATAGGAATATTTATTATTCATTTGAAAAGTGGTTGAATTATTATATTTAAATAAATGGTCAATATTTGAATTGGTGATGCATGCGAGTGGCCCCATATGCCCGACTCTATTCTTGCATCCTAGAAGTCTAGAACAATACCTCCACCAAATAAATTTTAATTAAGAAAAAATATTATATAAATTATATTAAATTGTATAACACTTATTATTACATGAGAATAATTTTTTTGATTTTTTATTTAATAATTTATATTTTATTATTTAAACTACAAAATAAAAAAAATATTTAACTTTTTTTTTCCTGAAAAAATATCTTGATAAGAATGTGTTAATTCACCAAAATGTTACCTCACTTAGTTTAATATTTTATGTTACCGCATAACAAAAAATTTTTTTTTAACATGGGTAATTTAATTAGGGGAGGGGCAAGAGGAAGGGGTGGGGTTTTAAACCCATACCCTAAAATAAGATGTTTTTTAATAATATTTAAGTGATTATTTGGGTCATTTGAGCTTCTCTACTGCAAAACAATTTTACTCTTACGTTTACGAAAGCATTGCAAAGTTTAAGTCTTTAATAAAAAGATTTGTCTAATTTGTATCTTAAGATATAAGTTAAATTTTATTAGTTATAAAATTTTTAATTAATCTTATAAAAATTTTTATATCAAATTCATATATATTTTTTAGATTTTGAGCATAAATATTATATTTAATTTTAATTTTATATTTTATTTTAATTGAATCTAATATAAAAATTTATATATAATTAATTAATTAAAAATATTACATCTAATAAAATTTAATATGTGACTTAAGGACAAAGGTAAAAAAATCCCTTGATGAAAAGGTGAAACGCACGAGTCTTACATATTTAAAGACTATGCCATTGTAATTTGGTTTTGCTTGAATTCTAAAACATATTTTCTTTCATGTATTAATATTTCACATGGGATAATAATCACTAAATCACTAGAACATTTGTTAATATTTTATATTATTGTAAAACAAAATCTATAATTAGATTCCCTCATATTTAAGGAGGTATAAAAGGGTTCATATTGTGCCTATCCTTCTCAATCTAGTAGTTTTGTTTCCTTTAATATGTGCACCCCTTAACTCTTTAAAATGGGTTGATTCCCCCATCCCCAATTTGTAATGTATTAAAAAAAATAATAACAAGAGGGTTTATGTTGAATGGGATTGTCGGTCTGAAACGATGACGTGGGGAACATGTGATAATCGC